CTTTAGATGAACTTTAGCCATTCACACATGCTCTATTTGTACTTGGTGATCTCAGCAGCCTTTTAACCAGTTTTATGGTCAAGCTGACACCGTTATTCTTGTTATCCCCCCCTGTGTCTAACACACAGTCCTTAGCGAATACCAGTCCCCGATAAGCTTAGGCACCAGTCTCTAATAAACAAGTTTCAAAAGAACACTCAAGGCGTCAAAATAACATTCAAGGCCAACAAAATTTTTAAAAAATTGCAAAGCAGTTATTTCCCTGTATCACTGCTTGTGACCTTAGGTCAAGTACTGCTCTTAAGCTGTGCCTTAGGGCACTGGGAGCCAGGAGCTGTATGTTCTCTGTTTGGAGGGCATCTGGGCAGTGTCTGTGTTACAGCCTGGGTTGGGATTTTTCTGGAGCAGCCCCTTCTCTCCCTGCTCTGAATCTAGGCATTTGAGAGATAGCCAGTACAGCTGAACAATCTGGCTTGCTAGGTGTCATGGTTTGAGCCTGGTCGGCAGCCAAACACAATGCAGCTGCTTGCCCACCCTCTGCCACTTGGGATGGGGAGGGAATTGGAGGGGCAAAGGGAGACTCAAGGATTGAGATAAAGACAGTTTAATAAGAGTAATAAAATAATACGGTGACAGTATAAATGGGTAATGTGCAATGCAATTGCTCACCACCCGTCGACTGACACCCTGCCCGCTCCCGGCTAGCGATCCCATAGACAAATACAAAGCTTGACTCATTTGGGGCTCGCCAGTGTCCTCACAAGTGACTCCTCTGGCAACCCAACGTCCCTGAGGACACAGCTGGTTTGTGGCTGTCGTGCAGAGTTTACTATTGGCTGTTAAAACATTAGGAAGTCCTCTGGTGATTAAAGGATGAAACGAAACCTCTCAAGGTCTGCCACACACTGCATGGGGGAGGGCTGTCGTGGGCACAGCAAGTGGTCATGCACTAATTGGAGGCAAGCAGTTTTCTGCACGCTTTCCAAGATGTGACTTGATGTGGGTGTTTTAATACAAAAAGGGTCCCCTCTTTCCATTGGGTCTAATCCTCCTGCCCAATAAACCACCTTCTGGGTCAAGGACCAGGGTTCATGGTTATCACTGCTAGTTAATAAAACTCCAGGTCCCCAGTATCCTCTAGCTTCATCTTAACTCGACAGAATATGATCTCTCCTGGTGAGGGAGACTCTCCAGACCTACTCTGTTTGAGTTTGTCAGGGGCCCTGAGAGTATTTTCCCTGTATTTTGGCCAAACCCAAAAATCCCAGTTCACTCTCCTGATCAGAGCCCGGATCTATTCTCTCATCAAACACCTGCCTGTTTTCTTGCAATTCATACCGTAAGATTTTCTCTCAGTCTAGTGAATTTAGCAAAATTGCATGAAGCCTCTGAGGAGTGTTACGCTCAGCAGTGAGATGACTTTGCAAGTTTCTTATCTGCTCTTGCAGGCACTCAGTTGCCTCTTTCTCTGCTTGCTTTTCCTTTCCAGCCGCAATTGACGCAGCCCCTAGAACAGCACAGACGGTTGCTTTTCCTTTCCCCAATCCCAGTTTTCATTCCTTTGCCAAAAGCGTGATCCTATCCATCAATGCCTGCCAATTCTTTTGGGCCCAAGCCATGCCAAGAGGAGAGGACAGGGATTTATAGCCCTTCAATTTCTCAAGGAGGGGCTTCTCTGCTATTGTTGGATCCCCAAATCGATCCCGACAACAACTGTTACACAATACGAAAGGGTTACTCTAAAGTATTCGGCCTAGTGTGCATTTACGGACCCAGTGTGGATCTTTCCAAAAGATCCACTGTCCTCTCTCCTGTCAGGCACTTCCTTAAAGAAGGGGCCATGCTAAGAGCCCTGATCCCTTCTGGTTGGATCAGTATCACAAGGGCATCCTGTCTGTGACGACAATTTAGAAATGCTGCAGCCCAAAAGAAGCTGTTCAAAACAGCCTCCCTCCCCTTGGGACTTACGACCAAGTTTGAGATACCCTTGTACTGAATTGAGGTGAAACACCACCAGCCAACCCACTTAACAATTTATTAATACAAAAGACATGGCAAGTGGTTAGATACAAATACTCAATGGCAACTTCTTAACTAGGTAAAAAAGTTCTATGCTTACTTGGAGCTAGTTACAATTCGTTAAAGAAAGGAGAAGAGAGAAAGAGAGAGAGACAGAGACAACTTGTCTGTTAGATTTCCCTTCCCTTCCTTAATACAATGCTTAAGGAACCGTCCTGGATCTTTGTGGCCAGCCCAAGTAATTAAGAACCTGGGAGTCACAAGGATGAGGCAGGTCTTAATATTCAGAGCGTATCCACGTCTGTACTTATCATTGTAAGATGTTTCAAGGCTCCCAACAATGTACATTTTAATCAGTTTTAATATTATTCCTTAATTAAAGGCACAAAAGGGAAGGTTCGAGACTACTGAATTGCTGAGGTTTGTCTCTGCCAGCCCGCTGCCATCATCACAGCGACCAAAAACTGTTCAAACAAAAAATCCACTTGCTTGAGTTCCGCAATGGGAATCTGAAGAAGAGCACAACCCCAAGCAGCCCGGATGGAGCTGTGGGGCTCCTGGCTGCAATTGGGGAGCAGGAGCCGCCCCGGGAGGGGGAAGCAGCCCCGACCCCCCCGAGCTGGGATTTTCAGCGCCAACTCCCAGCGCTGTGCAGGCCCCCGCTGCCTCTTGCCCCAAGAACGAGGCCCCAGCCGAGCAGCTCGGGGCTGCCCCCCCAGCCGTCCCTCGGGGCGGCCAAATCAGCTCCTCGAGGGGCTTCGGCCGGGACCCCGGGCTGGGGCCTGGGGCGGGCAGGGAAAGGGCCGGGACCCCCCCGGCTCGCAGCCCCCCCGGGCTCAGGGCTCCCACAGGCCTTGCCGGCAGCTCCCAGCCCCCCCGCCAGTCCCCCCAGCACCCCCCGCCCCACTCCCCAGCCCCGGGGCCGCCCGCAGCCCCCCCCGCCCCACTCCTCGGCCCCCCGAGGGGCTCCGAGCCTTTCCCCAGCCCCACTCCCCGGCACCCCCCGGGCCCACCCCCGCTCCCAGGCTCCCCGGGGGGCCGCAGCCCCCCAGCCCCTTCCCCAACTGCTCACAACCCCCCCAAGGCACGGAGCCCCCCCAGCCCCACTCCTGGGATCCACAGCCCCCCCACTGCTCCTCCACCGCCGACAGGGGACGGGCCCCACCGCGTGCCCCGGCCCCGCCCCCTCCGCAGCCAATCAGCGCGCGGCTCCCCCGGCCTCCCGCGCGGGGCATGCCGGGAGTTGTAGTCCCGGCCCCGGGATGCACGCATGCGCACGGTGCCCGGTGCGAGGGGGGCGGGGGTGCAGGCGTCGCGTGCGACAGGGGTGCGTGTGCAGGGTCCTCGTGCAATGTGGGGGTGTCACCTCCCTTCCCCGTGTGATTTTACGCCCCGTGTCGCCGCTCGGGGCACGCCGGGCAGTTCACCTCTGTGCTGAGCGGCGCTGGGGGGGAAGTTCATTAGAGCACGTGGATTTGTAGGATGGAAATGACGGATCAGCTCAGCTCAGAAAATCAAGGGGAGCTGGAGGGGGCCAGGATATTCCTGGAAATCGTAACCAAGGAAACTCCCCAAGCCAAATGAGAGTTTGTAAAGCCAACGCTTTTATTACAGTGCTGGGTGCGTGGGGATCTTTCCTCCTAACACGCACACCCAGGCACAAAAGCACACTCATCATATACAGAAAAAAAATAAACATTTGTAGAAATTCTAAATAAACAATCATATAATTTCTAGTATTCATATAATTTCATTCCTCTAATTTCTAATATAAATTCTAAAATCTAACGCCTGTGAATGTGTCTCTGCACAAGCATACTGAATTGGGGGAGGGTCTCGGGCGGTTGTTTTGAAGTACAGACCTTAACTCACTTCACCCACTGATGGTCACAGCTCACGGTTGGGGCTGCTGCTCGGCACGCAGCCCTGCTGATCTTATCTACAGAGTGCACACAAAGGAGCCTGCTCCTTGTATCCTTTGTGTACCAACGGAATTGTTCAAGTCTCTGGTATCAACAGGTCTAACTAGAACACTTATTTATGACTTTTTCATTTTCTGAAAAAGAGCAAGAATGCCCCTTTTTGACAATTCCATCTATTTCCCCGATGAGGCCAGGAGAGGGAGTAGCAGGTTGTGTTGTTTCCCCAGAAAAATCAGCACTCTGGATGGCAAGAGTTACATTCAGGTTGCCCAGCAGACAAAGATGGCATCCTCCGTTCATTATTCTTTTTAAAAGACCATGGAGATTTTTTTTTTTTTTTTTTTTTTTTTGGCCAGGAAAAACTGCACTTAAGAGCATCTGCCACAAGAAAGTTTCAGACAAGAACTATACTCTGTAAAAAAATATAAATCTTACCTATTGCTGAATGAAAAGATGTGCAGGTGTCTAATCAGGTTAATCCGTGTAAGCTCTGTGCTCACTGACCCTGCTGAAGGTACAACACAAACCCTGCTCACCTGCAGTCATTAACTGTGCAGATTCTGGCCAAAAGATGGTATTACAGTCAAATAAAAATAGACCCTGGTCCTCTTCTGCCTCTGTTTAGACAAAATCTAGTGAAAAAAAGCCAAATACGTAGTTTTCTAGATTGCCACCCCAATTTTGAGGCTTTTGTATTGCTGCTGATGGACAGCAAAGACTGTTTGCATGCTTCAGGTTCACGTGCAGGGAAACCTGAAACAAGCCTTGAAATTTGTCAAGAATTCTGAGAAATTCACCACCTGACCTTAAGCCATTTAAGTTCCTGTGTTAGGAAGCTGGTTTCTGTGAGGTCTGTAGACACTGATGAATGACACAGTCTTTGAGAAGGTGACTCAGAGGAGGAACTAAAAACACCCCAAGGACTAAAAACTTACTTGTGTATTTTCCATCTCTTCCAGGGGGTGATTATCTCAGCCTGAAAACCAAAAGGGAAAAAAGCCCACAAATGAAATCATAGAATGTATCAAGTAAGGTATTTCCAAGAGGGAGAGCAATAACATGGTGGAAGGCACTGGTCAGATACAGTTCATGGTTCTGCTCGCCCACATCTCAGACAGTGGAACCAGAATCACAGAATCCCAGGGTGGAAGGGACCTCGAGGATCAGCTGGTCCAACCTTCCTTGGCAAAGGCCAGCCTAGACAAGGTGGCCCAGCACCCTGTCCAGCTGAATCTTAAAAGTGTCCGCTGTTGGGGGATCCACCACTGCCCTGGGGAGATTATTCCAGCGGCTGATTGTTCTCGTGGTGAAACATGTTCCTCTTGTGTCCAACTGGAATGTCCCCAGCAGTAACTCGTGCCCACTCACCCTTGGCTTTTCCCTGGGACTCCTTGTAACAAGGGAGTCTCCCTCTTCTTTGCAGCCCCCCTTGAGATGCTGGAAGCAGAAGAGCTGCCCAGGCTGGCACCAGAGGATCTGTCTCTGCTGAGCTCAGGGACTGCCGGCGGGACTGACAAGCTGAGAGCGGTGTCTGTGGGGCCAGTCACTGCCGAGAGCAGCGCCAGTCCCAGTCCCTCACCCTCACCCTGAGAATCAGCGCTGGCTAACGGGTGCGGGGTTTGGATCCCAGTCCACACTCCCGGGTTCTGTTTGTCCCGCTCGGCCAAGAGACAAGTCCCTGCACCCCTGTGATCCCGGGAAATGGAGATGGGTGTGCTCTTCTTGGTACTCGGGAAGAAGTCACCCTAACTATTAACCAAGTAGCATCTGAAATCATAGCCACCTCCTCCTCTGAGAGGCAAAGGTGCTGATGGTATTTAATTGCACTGGTGCTTAATTAACAGACAATAGTGTTATGACAATTGCAAGGTATCTTATTCAGCTGAAAAGGCACAAATGTTAAGCAAGCGGCACAGAAGGACAACTGAAATTACAGTCTGGGGAGAAATCTCTGGTCAAATCTACAAGAAAAATTTTTACCTGACCAAATATGTAAGTTTAAAAAAACTGAAGCCACACATACACAAAGTTAACTTACAGCTGTCAAAGAACATCATAAAATCCTGCTGTATTTTCCTGGAAAAAAGAACTCTCTCTCATGAAATAAAGATTACTGCACTAGAGAGTGAAAAAGAATTGGGCTGATCTCTGATTTCAGGGTTTGGACCATCAGATAAATTTCCTCTAACAGCACTCAGTTACGGTTACTCAGCTACCATACTTTGAAAGAGCTGCACGGGTATTTAGCCACATACCTCCCATTAAAGCTAAATCGTCTTAAACAAAAGAGTCATTGTGTGTCTAACTACCCATGGAGCCTCTTGAGAAATTTTAAGAGACTACATCGACATTATGTTCTCTGCTGTTCTATGAAGCAGTGGAGGGCGCAATCGCCCTTCTCAAGCAACATTGCTTGCAAACTGAGTTTTCATACATTGCATTAGTGGCATTCGGTACTGGCAGAGGCCTTACCCATTTAAAAAACAATCTTCACACTGCTACAGAGGTATCTTGTTTCTATCAGTTTCATTTTTCTGGTCTTGATTTACATACAAACCCATCAGCTGTTATCCAATAATGCACATACTCTGTCCTGTACTTCTAAAAGGTGCTCTAGGGCTAGCTGATGCTATGTTACCATTTGTGATAATGATTTGATGTCTTCCTGTAGGGCTGTCATACTGCCTGCACTTTCGTTAATGGATTTTTCTAATTCTCTGGGCACATTTGCAATAGCCCTTTCTAGTTTTGCAACCCCCAACCATGGGATAAAAGCTGTTACACACAGGTGGAACTTAATGACACATTCTGTCACAAGGCTGTGACACTTTTTCCTGTAGACATCAGTAGCTAGGAGTTAAAGAGACAGAAGAGATACTGGTTCTAACCTGTGTGGATGGTATTAATGCACTTAGAATCCACTTTTTGGCTCAGGTTGAGGGTAAATCCTCAAATGCTGTTTCTCCACCTAGCCAATATTGCCCTGGTAGTTGTGTCAATGGGTAGTATAAACTTCAAAAAAATCTGAAGCCTGTAAATTATTTCCCGTAAAAGTGTTGGCATGTGCCGGATTTGGTTGTTGAGTTAAACCAGTAAGGTTCAGACCCAGGGTAGATGACTCAGAGCCATCAGGATCTTAGAGTCCTGTAGTGGCAATGAAAATTGTATTGTTGTCTTTAGCTTGACTATGGCTTCCTGCAGAATACCAAATTAATCTCTCTGGGAATATCCACATAATCTCGGGAGTCTGCAGGGCCTGATAAACTCCATTCAGGAACAAATCTACAGCTTTTGAAGAGGTTTTATGTAAAGGCTTCTGGAGACTCTCCCTTTCCCGCTCAGAGGATGCGGTATATAGTAAGGTTTTGGAAGAATCTGTGGAGTAGTGCCAATTGCCTTTAGGCATAGGAACATTCCGGGCATAAGACTCTCCTTTTCACCCATATGATCCTAAGATGTGAATTGTCCATTTCCATTCATTCTATTGCTCCTAATATTATTATTTTTTATTCATTTGAATTCTATTAATTTTAATATATGCTCATTTCCAGTTCCCAGCCCCCATAGAGTGAGTAAGCTTGCCCGCAGGTTTGCTCTCCAAGCACACCCGATGTCTCCTTTCAGACTAGTGACAAAGCCTTCTTGGCGGAAAGGCGGGATCCTTCCTTTCTTCAGTGAAAATTCATAATGTAGATGCCCATCCTTGTGCCACTGAGAGTTTGATGGGCTGGCCCCAGCCGTGGCGTGCATCCACGACAAGCTCGCCAGCAAGCTGCACTACGATGCGCTCACCTTCAGCGGCCCCCACATCTCCCTGCGCGACCTCAGGCGCCAGATCATGGCCCGCGAGAAGCTGAAGGCGGCCAACTGCCACCTGCAGATCAGCAACGCCCAGAGCAAAGAAGGTGCGTGGGGGTGGCGGGCGCGGGGCCTTGGGGACAGCCCGGCTGGCGGCCTGGCAGAAATCCGTGTTTCACAAGCCTTGAGTTTTTCTAGCAGAAGTGAATGGAATTGTCGGGAGTTTTGGGAAACTGTTTCATGTGCTGGGAGGGCTTTGCTGCAGAAGGGTCTCTGAGTGTTGTCTTCAGCTGCTCATGTACTTTCAGCTTCACGAGTGCTAGCAGGTCGAATGGCCAGCTGGCTGCCGTCACTCCTGTAACGGTCGGGTCTGTGTAAGACAGAGAGGTAGAACCAGAGTGTTGGATGGTAATAAACTGTGATGGAGCCTGATTATTATCACCAGAAGAAAAAGTATTTTGAAATAGGCAGCGTGCAGACTCTGTTATAGCAGGTGAAGAGCAGAAAGCAAAGTTTTTGAAGAAAAATTTATGCTTATAAATCTGTTACCCCCTAAAGTGTTGCTCGGATAGACATAATACCAGTTTTACGAAGCCTGTTGCTTTGTTTTCATACATTACGAGAATCCAGTGAAGAAAAAGTATCAGCTTCACTAGGTTCTGCTAGATGTGGTGTTGCCCCAAGGTGAAATTAAAGAAGGAATATCTTTCATACTTCAAAGACCATCACTCTTATTTAACAGTGACAAGATCCGCCTCTGGGTAGGTCGTGTTGCACTTTGACCTTTGTAAAATGAGTACAGTACAAAATTCTAAACTTGGTATATCAGTGTCACAGATGCTTATTGAAGCTTTTGTAAGGGTGCTTTCCACGGGAAGATGAAAAAATCCCCCAGTGTTTTTCAGAGCAAAGCTACAGAATACATTTCAGTGTAATATATATGTATGCCAAATATCTGTTTTATATGCGTAACTGTGAATTTCAGTTTTTATGAATCAGATGTAGATGCTTAAGCTCACCTTCAGAGGGTAAAGGAAAAAGCGAGACCAGAATATTCTGCCTAAATAGGGTGTCTGGAATTCTTGCAATGTGGGCACAAATTATTGGGGTTTTACCACTTTGTCTGTACAGGAGTCCCGAGTAAATGTTGAAACGATGTTGGAAAGAGCAAAGTGAGCCTTGAGTGAAGATGGCCTACTTGTTCAGATTTTTCTGAGTACTCTAACCTTTACAGTTCGGTAGCTGTTACTTTTCATAATGGAAATCTAGTAATAAAAGGAATGCTAATATAAGGTAAAAGTAAACAGGATTTTAAGTATCAGTGGAAAAAAATGAAAGGATGGACTCTTTTTAAGATGCTGGGAATGCAAAATGGATGGTTAGGGCCCATTTTAAAAAGGGGAAGGGGATGGGGGTGTGTCCTCTTCCATGCTTACTATAGAGACATGTCCTAGACAGGCAGGATTCCCTTCGAAAAGCCTATGCTCCAGAATGATGCATTTAAACTTGCCTCCTTTTCAATGGATGTGAATTTCATGGCCTGTCTTTTATAATAGATGTTCTCGCGATATTGTGGAAGAACTGCAGACTCCAGAACTCAGGTTTCTTGAGTACTCTTTCCTGCCCTGTAACGTTCTGACTCAAAACACTTGCTTATCAGGCAAAATGCAAAAAAAAAAAAAAACCCCACAAAACCACAAAAATCCAAAAATGGGACTCTGAGCTGGTCTTAGATTAATAGTTTTAAGGAAGAATCCTGCTCTTATAAGACTGTCTCTTGGGCTCAGAACTTGCTTGAGTTCAGTGCTGCAGCATGCACTTGACAGTTTTAATAATGTCACACACAATGTGATGTCTTCAAAACAGACTCATGCTAACTTTGAATGACATCCTTTGGCCTCACAGCTGATGTCTGTCTGTCTGTCTGCTGCAATGCCTTCAACGCTGTGCAAACAACTTAGCATTCTAGAGAAGACATTTAAGCAACTTTTAAACCTTGCCCTTCGCTGTGCCCTTTTGCATTGCAGTGCTAGTAGGGGGGGATTACTTTGGTCCCACCTCAGAGAGCAGTGAGTTCTTGGGCTGCCATGCAGCATCATTGGGTAGAGCTTTCAGAAAGGGAGTCGGCTGCTCTGACTCTGTCACCAGCAGGTCTGGGACCTCTCCGGGGTGTGCTGTCGGCTGGGGTAATGTCCCTTAAAGGCTCTTAGGGCAGGCTCAGGTTGGCTCAGTACCACGTTGTCTCCAGCACTGCTTTTGCTTTCCCAGTGACACACTTGGCAGCAAGCGCTACGAAGAAGACATTAAGGCTTCGAGCGGTCTGTATAATCAGATTAAGGATTGAAAGTTTTTAAATTATTAACTATTAAAATAGTAAAGATTTCATTGACTCCTCCTTTCAAAGCAATATAGGGGCTCTTTTGGAGCACACTACTGTATAATAAAAATGCAAATGAAAGTTCCATGAACCGTTTGGCCCACAGAACTAGCTGATTCAAGAAATGATGATATACCAGGTGGAGGTGAGATCACTGATAGCTATTCTGGTGGAAGCTGAAAACCCAGAAAGAGTAGTCCGATCTGTTACTCAGGGTGTTTCCAGGCAGTGCTTTCAGTGCCTGCCACATAGACGATTTGTTTGTCTCAATGTGTGCAAGCGGGGTTGATTAGAAGAGAATTAAAAAATCACATGATGACAAAGCACATTTTTAAGTGCCAGGAGAAATGTGTTCTTGAGAGTTACCCCATTTTCTGGTAGAGACAGTCTGGCACGTTAGTAGTCATTTTCATCTCTTCCTCTGCACGTCCTTCCCCCAGCAGCATAATAGCTGGTTAGCAAGGCATCTAAGCCTAACACAGGCTTTTCTCTGTCGTTTCACATACAGGCTTGCCTTCTGATGACTTCTGTTCTGATGAGCTTCCGTACTTTATCTGGGTGAAAATACTTCTCCAGATGGGGCTCAGAGAGATGCTTTGGCAGTGCTGTCAGACTCAGAATGGTGGATTTTGAGTCAGACCACCACAGCAGTGGCTCAGGGTGTCCATGCTTTAGCTAAGTGCCTGTTCTTTTGCAGAGCAAGCTAGTCAGGCCTTAGAATCCGGTTTACGGAGGCTAGACTTTGCTGTGGTTTGTTTTTCTCCAAAGATTGACTGGTTTTGTATAAGGGAGCCAAAAGTAATTTAAACTAGATCAGGAAAGAACCTCATGCATTCGCCAAGTCTCCTTTAGTGGCCTTTGAGGTCATTTTGCTGTTGGCTTTCAAACTATTTTTTAAAATGAAAAAGATTTTGCTGCTTGTGTTTGATTATCAAGCCTGAAGATTTCTTGAAAGCCACTGTTAGTGCATTGAGATGATAAATGTGCGATGTTACATATAAAATTTTGTAAAAGGATTCTCTGAAGTGCTATGAAATTACATATTCATTCTTACAAATTGACTGATTTTTTTTTTTTTTTCTGTATTGATGTTGTTTTCAGAATACACGGATGATAATGCCCTGATTCCTAAGAACTCATCGGTAATTGTTAGAAGAATCCCTGTTGGAGGAGTTAAAGCTACCAGCAAAACATGTGTTAGGTAAGTCCCCATAAAGCACTGTATTCGTTGTGAGGGGTTTCAGTATGTCAACTTCGTCTATGGGTATTAGTTTTCAGAGGCATCCAGATTGTATCCTTCTTGTGAAAGCTGCTGTTAATCTTTGTTGTCATGGGGTAGATTTTAATGTATCAGTCCCAAAGTATAATTACGTTTTTAGTCCTGCCGGGACGTGGAGTTCAAACTCCAACAATCGTGACTTTCAAGATGATTCTGTTGGGCTTGTTCTTGGGGTTGAGTTTTCTGAGAGCCGAGTTGTAGATCCCCTTTCCTCTACGTGTAGAGATTCCTTAGTATGTGTGTTCGCTTTTATTGCTTTTATAGTAAAGGCAGACATGCCCTGCAGTGTAAAACCGTAATCAGAAGAGTCTGATTCTCAGTGTTTGTCTATTTCTTGCACTTGGGGGAAGGGGGGTGCGGAGGGGAGGCGGATAAGGCAGGTATTCTTACACCTGAAATCCAGGGGTTTGCATACTAACTACAGAGGAGGGACCGAGGGTCACCATCTGGTGAACCATGCAAACAAGAAGTTTCATTCATAAGTGAGTCCTATTAGTTTCCTAAAGACAACGTCCATTTCAGGCAAGAGAAAAAGAACCATATCCTAAAGTGCATTGACTTTTGTGTGAGTACGATAAAGAAATGGTTAATCCTTTCCAAACTTGAAACTCAGTAAGCAGTTTAGCAAGTTGCCAAATATTACTAGTTATCTTTCTAAGTCTGTTTTTACCCTAAGCTGGTATCTCTGCTTCATGCTTTAATCCCTTATTCCTAAAATGTACAGACTTTTAATCAATACCGGGTGTATTGATTAAAATTACAGCTAATCAAATGCAGTCCCAACCACAGGATGATTGCTGTCATTTATTCATTCATACAGGCCAGTTCTGTACCAGCTGCATTAGCACTCTTTGAATGCTCGTTTTCCATCCCTCTCAAAGAGATGCCAATCCACCCCAGTTGGTAGATATTACTAGCTTGTGGGTTTGCCATGCCTTTCTCATGTTGGTTCTCAAGAAATAAAGTATACTGATGAGCTACAGTGTGTCCCCAACAAACAGCACAGCAGCATCCTGGTACCCCTGAAGCATTTGCCAGCATAACCCCCTGAATTTACGAGGCTCTGCATGTAACTTTGGGCATATTACCGCAGTAGCTGTTGCGGTGCTTTCAGGTACTACCTGGTAATTCTGGACGCCCACAGCACTCTGCTTATAAACATGACCTTGTTTTGGGGGTTAGTTTAAATATGCATGCTTAGTTCTGTCTGGTCAATGCATCCTCCGTTTCTGGTTGGACGGCACCTTCTCCTGGGGGTGTAATGCTGCCCTAAAATGAGAGGATAGATGCTGCTAGCATCAAAGATCAAATCGCTACCGGTATGTGGGGATAAAGAAAGAATGGGCCTGCTGTGCTTCCACTGAAAATTAACCAGGCCAATTAGCTTTCTGTTCCTTCAGCTGGAAACATTGCAGAAACAACTGGTAGAGTGGTGAATGTTTGGAATGATGAATGTGTGCTGGGATGGTGGAGGGGATGGTGGATTCAAAAATGCATTACTCGCCTTGTAGTGTGTTCCTCAAGGTAAACGGCTGAAGAAACCCTTGTGCGGTAATTTGAAGTATTTCCTTGTCCTTCCTCATCTTCAGGAGGTACCTGGCTGTGCTTGCAAGGCTGGTGGTGCTCCAGCAGTGGCAGGAAGCGTGAGCCTTTCTATTTTACCTAAATTCCAAAGCAGCCTTTGAATTGCCTCTGCTCATGGGACACTTTGGAGGATGAGTGGATTGTTTGCTAACTCTCTCAGTGGTTACGTGTCTGATTAATGATGAGTAGCGTGCAGATACAGAGCGATGAGCATGTGGAATCTCATCAAGTTTTCAAATGTGATAAAGATTAGCTAAAGTTCTGTAGCATTTAGTCAATATAGCATATGTAGCCCATTTAGTATTTTGGCCCTTTTATGGCTAAGTGTGGTAGATAACTGCACACAGTGCTTGGGCTTCCGCAAAGAAACAGTGTTCTAAAGACCGTGCTGCTGACATTTTTGTTATTTCATTGTCAGATGACTGATTTTTTTCACTTAAGTGAACTTGCACTTTGAAGTGTCTGGACTATCGATTGCTGTTCTTTCTTAGAAACTAAAGTACTGCATCTGGTGCCTATTTATAAGAGTAGGGATACACAGATTGGCTAGAGTTACCTTCCTATTTTGATGGTTGATTATCTAAGAACACACAACTGTGATACAGACTTCATCTTTTCGATACTTACGTAGCAGAGACAAAATATCTGAGGACTTGCTCTTGCACCGGTGTGTCCTGTCTCTGTAAGTCTGAGAGTAATTGGTGACAAATTAAAAGCGGGATACTGAGGATTTCTTTTTCGCTGCACTGAATGTACCAAGAGAGGACAGTTTACATATACGAATAAATTTCCACATTCACCAGACTATCAGATCAGAATGTTTTGATGTTCAGGTTTTTAAATGTGTTTTCACTGCTTTATGCTGGGTAGAAGTGCCTTATTTGAAGTTCTGATCACCTTTATTTCTTCTTCTAGGAGTCGAACTGAGCCAGTGAGTGGAACATCAAGAGCAGTATGTAAAACACAATCTCTGACTTTTTTCTACACGCTGCACTTAATTCTAAACAATGTAGCTTTGTATTAATTTTCCAAACATAAACTTAACATATTTTCCAGTAAGACTTAGTAGATGTTGTAAAGACAATGTATTTGATTCAGCACAGTTAAAACCGAGTAATGCCCTCATTTGCACAGTTCTAATGTGAATATTGGTATTTGCAGCTAGTTACACATTGCATTTCATAAGGAATGCACTAGAATATTTCCTTTATGACGTTGTGTTGTACAGATAATGGATGATTGGTTTTAGGTCATGTAGGTTCAGGGTTTGCACAACTGAACATGGCGTCATGTTCTACATCTGTCTGTCTGTATCTAGTAATACGTATGTTTGTATAGGTTGCCGTGTGCATTTTGTTTCTTGCAATTAAAATTGTTTGGAGTGGGTTTTTTTTGCCATTTTCACATTGCATCACTTAGCTTTTGTTTTTAAATACTTTCTTTGCCTAATGATTTTGGAAAATGTTATCGAAACCCACTGAGAAACCATTGTTGTTACACTCGGTACTGTTCCTTTGTTTTGAGTCGGGGGTGCAAGCATATACTAAACCCAACATATCCCATACGTTTTGAGGGCAGTTCTGAGCAGCTAAGTGATTCCTTTTTGTGTCCTGAAATACTTGGGTATTTGTTCCTAGAACTGTATAGCTGAAGCAGTACTGTTTGGGCCCCTCGGAGTGCATAAATGGCTCTCCGACTGCCGTGAATGTAAATATCCTTGCTACCCAAAGTGGTATTCTAAAGTTCTGCACTTGGCCTTTCCACTTTATCAGATGAAGCAGTTTAGTTTAATAGTTTGTCTGCAGATGAAAATATCTTAACCCCAGTGTACAAATTTTTGCACAGGGTTAGAGCCTGGCACTTTTGCGGGTAGAATCCCTGTCCTTTTTCTTAACTTCTGCCTGCAGTACGTTCTTGGCTCTGGGTGACTTCAGGGTTGGACGCTGCTTTAATTTCCTGAAGGTTAAATTTTTCTTTAGTATACCACCACTTTGCATTTACATTTGGAAACAGGGCAGCATTTTTGTTCAGGTTTGAAAATACTGTCATTGTGTTACTAAACCAGAAGTAACACAAGGAAATACTTGACTGGTAATGGTCTAGATCTTGATTGGCCCCTTGGGTCAAATCCTGTGTGTAACAACGCATTTCAAAATAGTCTTTGCAGTATAGAAACTACTGCGGGATGTTTTTTATTTTTCATCTTTTAAGTATAACTGCTTTTTCATCACTAGAATGGTGGGAGGCATTACATTAACCCTGGAACACTGGATCTGATCACTTGAAAAGCTGTTAGGATAACTTCATGTCGAAATTCATGAACTCTGGGGCTGTGTTCTGTGAAGAATACAGCCTTTCATTCTCGTGGAATGGCATACAATCAAAATTGAAAACTTTTTGTACGTAGGTCTAAAACACTACTTCGAAATCTGACATCTGTAATTGTCTCAACGATTGGTTCAGATTCCTTTAGGACATGAATGCCTCCCATTCTGAATTTGAGTCACTTTAACTGGCCTAGTGACCCTTGTAGTTAATGTAATGCATTTACGTGAACCATGTTTATAGTATCCGATCTACTTTAGATGGGTTTTTATTTCTTGAAAACAGTTATTTTTCTCTTTGTTTACCTAGTATGTGGATAAACACAGATCAGGTGTTCCTAAGTAAAGTTAACCTTCTTTTAGCCTCCTGTGTTCCCTGGCATGCCTTTATTACATTGCTGCATAACACTTTACCGTAAACCAACACAGATGTCTCAAAAAAATTTGCAGAAAGAGGAAAAATCCTGGAGTGGGAGGGAAGACTTAGTGTTAATTAGAGCCCATTAAAGTAAAGGAAAGACAAAGCCAAAACATGCCCTTCTTGTTTGCTCTGACTGCACCTGATTTGGGCTGTGGGGAGCCACAGGGAGGGTGGAAGCCTTGCATCTCTCTGTACAAGCCCTCTCTCTCTCTCACTGGGAAAGCACCCAGCCTCAGGTGTTCTAGTGCTAGAGACACTATTAGCTCTGTTCTTACAGCTAACTCAGGTCTTGGTCTGAAGTGTGTGGGGGTTTGTCTTTGTTTTTGTTTAAATACACATCTGTCTGTATGTATTTCAAAGCAGAACCAGGATCTTAGTGTGGCAGGAATAAATCACTGGGAAGTTTGCCATGACTGATGAATGGTAAAGCAGCAAAGGTAAAATGAGTTACGATTTTTAAAAAAGGATGCACAAAAGCTTATACTCTGAATATTTCTTCATTGTCTTGCTGTTATGTTTGCTGTTGTTCTACACTTCCAAGTCTGTGCTGCTGTCTTCCTGTTGCCACAGTCAAAGGAAGAAAGTGGATCCTTTTTGGTTTAGCATTCCTATTTCAGTAACTGCGAGGATATCTAGTTGGTATTTGTCCTTAGAGGCTGCAGAAATGCAGAGTCGTGCCCATTGTTTTATTGCTGTCGATCACAGCTGTGATCCCTCCTGTCTGAATTTTTAGTTTAGCCAAGCTATCGGGTGTTAGGAATCCACTGTAATTTAAATGTAGCACTCCAGGAGTGAGGTTAGCCTTTTCCTCCTATTTTCTGTCCCCTTTCCCACTTGCTTCATGTTAGTTTCTGTTTAGCCTTCTGTTTGAAACGGGAGGTGATACACTGACTGTCGAGTGTGGTTTCGGGGGTTGGTTTTTTGGTGATTTGGTTTGTTTTTTCCAATTCTTCTGCAGTATTAGCTTAAGGTTGTGCACAAGTTTCATGGAGATGTTGTTTCTACTTGTCTGTTTGGAAGGATTAGCAGGAAATACTTCAGTAGAAGTTTAAAGGAAAAAAATAGGACACAAGTACGTAGGATCACTGGAAGATGGCCGTTGGGTAAACATACTAAATAGCACATTAATTATCTATTTGCTGCTTTTGATAACTGTTTAGTAGAAAGGAGTGCTATCAGCTCCTTTAAGAAATTACACTGTTGCCCACAGGCCATCTAATAACTGCTTCCCAAAACAGTACGAGAACTAATTAACAGTTTATTAACTGTCAGGTCTCAGTTACTGGTCAATACTGGACTGTTTAATGCTAGACTCCAATAGAAAGGTTTCCTAATTTCTTGTTTGCTTCTAAAAAACTGCAAAATGAGAGTGGTTGTGCCTGCCATGAGATACCACAGGCCTGGTTTTCCCCATGTCAAAAAGAGTGGCATATGGAGCATGAAGCTTCAAAAGACTTGATCAGGCTTCCTTTCTAAGAGAACTAGAAACAAATGTTTTGAAAAGAAGGAAAGTTGAATCTTCTGGTAAGACTTGCAGTGGAAAGAAGGTCTCTTTTTCCAGATCTGGGTGTTCCTCTCCAAAGGGGCATTTTCAGGAACTTTCTAGTTAGCCATACAGCATACAGTTGTATGTGCTTTCCTAAACCTATAGAGAAGGAATGAGTAAGTGGCTGGAGGAATCATCTTCTGCATGCAGCTTTTTTTTTTTCCCCAGAGTCTGCTCAAGCTGTTCCCTTGAATTCTTCCACTCCATTAGGTAATAAAGGACAAGAGACTTTCCAGGGAAGGGTTTTAATTTCTCTTCTGATCTATTTAGTGACCTCTTGAAAGACCTGTTCAGTTTACATTGTGAAATTTTAGTCTACTGTTTTGAACAACTGAAGACATAGGCAATGTTTCGAGTGTCTTTCTGGGAATGTTTTAGTACTTTAAGCTTAACTGCTGGTTGTGGCATAACAGAATTCAATAGACTGGAAAAGGAACAAGGTAAGAGTTACCCTTTTCACTTGTGGAAAACCTGCACTTCAGTATTAGTTCTCAATAAACCCTGCAGTCCATTACTGAACCTGTGGCCCGAGGACTTCATTCCTGCGAGCTGCTCCCGTAGGTGGCTGGGAGGGAGGAGTGTGGTCGCAGTGGAGAAGAAAACCACAGGACTGTGCTCTGAATCCGTGTTTTCATCATCATTGATAATTGGTTTTGTTCTGATAACAAGAAGAATAATATTAAATTCTCACACTTCCCAAACAAGTTTAGATACTATGGCCTGCGGTCTAAGATAATACAAGTAACCAGTTTTCTCAGTTTTTATAGGCTACTCTGTCATGGTAAACACCTTTGTTTCACTAATTTGAGCAGTTTGGGATTTTTCTAGATTAACTAGTGGGTTACATTTATGGCTGATGGTTCAGATTGGTGTTTTTCTCTGGCTTTGATGGGGTGTGGTGAGTTTGGCATTTTTCAGCTCCTTGACAGGAGGGGCAGCGTTCATGTTTCAGGGCTCATATGCCCGTGCTCTATTTTGACAGACAACGATACTTTGTTCGCAAAAGCATAACCATGTGCATTTATACACGATTAGACATTAACTGATTACTTTACAAACTACACTGAAAAGAAGCTTCCCGTAGTGATGCTTCCCTCTCAGATAAGCATAACTTTTTAAAAATTCCCTGTTAGCCGAAAACTGACAGCTTCCCCCTTCAACTTTTAAGCACTTGTGAGCATCTGACAAGGGTCCCTCTCTGAGATATTCTGGAGCAGTAAGTGGATCTCAAGTGGGTTTGGTTGTTTTTGTTTCTTCTCATTAACCACACAGGCACTCTTAAGCTGTCATAGGTTTGGATTTTGTTTTGAACAAATACCATCACACTAGGTTGGAAATGCCTTTTTCAGTGGCACTCGGAGGATATAGTTCAGACTTTCAGGATACAGTAGAGGTTAACTATTGCAATATTTTGATGGTAGAACTTGAATATGTGCTTGATTTTTTGCGAACAGATTGATGAGTCTTCTGCATCAATTTCTCTGGCGCAGCTTATTAAGGTATATTCTTGTCAAATACTTAAAATATAACAAGTGTTTGCTTTGTATTTTTAAATCTTATACTGTGATCTGTAGCTGGATAACTGTTGTAATGTGAACAAAACTTAATTTTTAATAATTTACAGTACTTGTTTTAACTTTAAAATGTGTGCATATTTTGTTACTGTCTTGTAAAGATTAGTTCCCAGTTTGGGAAGATAGAAGGGGAGTAACTTCTCAGCCACAACGTACTGT